CTCACAGTGCTTCGGTGCAATCAACTGAAAACAGCGTAGCTGTTCGTTGGCCCGCGAAATACTGGGGCAGCATAGTGCTTTGATGTGATCATACCAAAGCATGGGAGCACATGGCCATTCAGTTGATGCGTGCGCCTTCTGGCTGCAGTTGCAATTACCTTGACCTAACTGATAGATGACAATCCGTGTAATAATCAAAGTAAGAGGTAGCGTAAATTAAATTTACAAATTCTACAGACCATGTCGATTTACTGATTCTGATCTTGCATACATGCGAACGCATATAGACCCTGAGGATTAGGCACAAAAAATTATTTTACGAAAACTTAATGCATAAATTATAGCAGAATGTTCCAGACTAATAACAGATCTCACAAAATATCCGAAAGTACATGTTATTCATTTATAACAATTTCATTCAGTTTCGAAATAAAAATGCCAAAAATCATTCTGCGCATTAAAAAAAAATACGAAAAAGAACCAGGATTAGCGACGAATAAATAACCGTAAGAGCGTAAAAAATTTTAAAATACGAACAACAGCAAACGAACATCATGATCAAAGGCATTCATTCAATAACTTCAACATCTGATATGCACAGGAAAAAAACAAAGCCCTTATTCAGTGCTATTCCAGTTAATTCCCGAATATGAAGCATCTACGCAATTAGAAAACTATAAACATGGAAAAGCTTTCATTATTTTCAACTGTGTCAAAATCATGAAAGATTTCAACTTAGATACCAAAACAAATGAAGCAGAAGGGCAGCAAAAAAATGAAAAAAAGACGGAAACGACCGGAGTTCATGACAGTTAAAGATATGACAAAAAACTGAACTTTTAGAAAAAGATAATTACGAACTTCAAGCATCTAATTAATTACAATTCCGGAACGAAAACAAAACAAATTCATCAATTCAGGCAGTGCAAGAATATCAGATTCCCACAAAACAGTACGGCCAGAATGATTGGCACGTACAATGGAGATTGCTAAAAGCAATCTATAACATAAGGATAGTTATGTAACATTTCGATAATCTAAAATAAATCAGCAGAGCGAATGACTGGCACAAAATGACTTTATGAGAGTCACGTTAGCTGTCCGTTTTTAGTTTCATGACAGGTCTTTACGGCTACTATAAAGATTGGAAAGAGTTTCTCTTTACACCGTATTTCGCCAAGCAAAGCGTTCCCTTGCATTGAAAGACGCCTTGTCCAAATGACTACGGCGAGAAATGGACAGTTATAAAACAGAGCGTAACAGAAATACGTAATCGAGTTTTATTTTATGGTTTTCGTGAAAATGTCTATTGTGCGTCAAAGTTAATGGTATATATTACGCAAATCACAGCACTACTTGCCTATAACTTTAACTGGTCGTAAAGATAACTGCTTAATTAGCCTTTGCATAGAATAACTTTCACATTTCTGGCGGTCTTTGTCATGAGAATAGATTACGGAGTCCATAAATGTCGGTTTTTCCTGAACGGTGGTTTCAATCGGAGCAAGTCGCAAGTTTGAAATTAATTTTCATAAATGACGAAGATAATAATAATACAGTTTATTTGAATAAACGAGAATTCACCGCTAGCAGCAGAACCGATTCCATTACGAGCGTTCGCATCCTAAAGAAGGCATGAAACTTTGAATCGTTAACAGACGATCAGCTACATTACAAAACGCAAGTGTTGCTTCGATTCTTTGTGCTTTTCTTCGAAGTTCTATCTTTGTTGCCTTGTTTCACATGCGGCTGTTTTCCAGCAGTATTTTACATTGCTTGCATTTTTTTCTTCTGTTTATCTAATGATTTCTCCGTTCTCATCCTACATTATTTATATCATTAGACTTTGCCACGTAGGACTGTTCGATTGTTCCTCGGGTCTTATACTTGTTCCGTCAAATTTGTTTTCTCAATGTTACTTCGTTCTTTCTACTCACACCTTTACCAAAACTGTTTTTCGCAAAGTTGTTAGCTGCATTCGTCGGAACACCCTTGCGAATCCTGTGCAATATTTTTGATGGCTCTGATGTGATTCGTTCTTCCAGCGCCATCTTTTGTATCCAT